GGGTAGGGTCCGGGAAACGCAGGACATTCGCCTTTCCATGGGGCTAAAAAGATAAGGAGACTTTAAATCCGGGGGAATATTTTATAGAGCTTATTTGAGTGTCTTAAGGGTAGGGTGCAAGTCGTGCCAGCTAGGCCGGGTTTATGGTTAACCCAAGTTGGGCTTGGCCTGAGCCAAGGTCAAGTTCCATCTTCTTAATTTTGAGCCCAGCCCGTATTGTAATTTAATGCACTCAGATTGGGTTTGGACCAGGCTGGGTTCAGGTTGGTCAATAAATCCATTCTAAAATGCACTTATGGTCAGGCCTGGCCCGAGCCACGTTGAGCTTGTTCATGGGCTGGCCCAGGCTTGGCTTTTGATAAAATTTAAATGGACCCGACCCAAAGCCCGAGTCCGAAACAATGTAATGTCAGGCCTAATGCCCAGCCCGTAAACAAGTAAAGGACAGGTTCAACCTACCTAAATAGGTTCATGGGTCGGGTATCCCGATGGCCTGGCCTGGCCTGACTCGTTATTTTTCGGGGTTGGACAAAATTTTAGGCCTATGGGCTCGGGCTCAAGCTTTAAATATCAGGCCCGATCATTTTTCGAGCTGGGCTCGGTCTTTCTCAAATAAGTCCGGCCCGATACTTGCATATAATAAAAAGTACTTATGTTATATATAATATATATTTGTTTCTTAAATTATTAATAAATATTAGTTTGCTATTAGGAAATACAAATTAGTTTATTAATTTATTAAATTATTACTAAATTAATATAATATTAGTTTATAAAAGTACACTAAAAATAACGCACTTTGTGTATAGATTGGGCTTCAGGCTTTATATAAGTGTCGGGCTCGGGCTCAGGTCTACACATTTTTTGTTGATAAAGAGGCAAAGCGTGGCCCGGCCTAGCCCATGAACAGGTCTATACCTAAAGACTCGACTCAACCTAATTTGAAAAATAAAAAAAAGCTTGAAATCTTGGGCCCGAGTCCAACTTGAGGACCAAAAATCCAAGCCTAGCCCATAAAAAATTTCGGGCTGGGTTGGTCCAGGCTCAGGTTTGGCCTGAGAAGCAATAGTAGACTAACTTTATCTCAAGGTGGGTTGCAGAAGGCTCAAATGCATAAAATTGGCAAGAGTCACCTAGGGACATTTGAAGAAGAAGAAGAAGATTGTAAAGTTTTCCTTACCTTTCCCTTCTTTTCCCTACCTTTTCCTTCAAACCAAACATAGCCTAAAAGAAAAATGAAAAATCTATGGTGCCTGAAAGATATGACAGAGGAAGGGTGAATCTTGATAAATACCATTCGATTGATTACTACTTTTATGATAAAGGATGGTTGATTAAATCAATGTATGTTTAGGATCAGTTTATCATGTCTTTTGGGTATTATAGTTGAATCCAAATTTAAGGCCCCCTTTGGTTCATGGGAATAGGGGTCTGGAATCAGAATCAGAATGAGCTATTCCAATTCTAACTGTTTGGTTGGATGGAATCGGAATCCCATTCTCATTCTTACTGGAATGGCATTCCCCCATTTGAGGGTATGGCCATCCCTGCCCCTCCTTAGGGAATGAAATCCTATTCTTGATGATTTTAATTCCCATTCCTATAGTCTGTTTGGTTTATAATCAGAATTGGAATCAAAATCCTTTGGAATCCGTGTCGGAATGGTTCATTCCCATAGTCTGTTTGGTTCAGATAAGAATGGGAATGAGAATTAAAATCAGTAGGAATGGGATTTAATTCCCAAGGGAGGGGCAGAGAATGGCCATTCCCTCAAATGGAGGAAGGAATGCCATTCCAGCAGAAATGGAATGGAACTCTGATTCCACCCAACCAAACAGTTGGAATTAGAATAACTCATTCTGATTCCGATTCCAAATCCCTATTCCTGTGAACCAAACAGGGCCTACCCACTTTTTAGGCAAAACCTATGGTGCTTGAAATGCAATAATCATAATAGCATTGCAATGTAAAAATTTTGAACCAATGATAAAGCATTGAATCATACACTTTGTGAAACATGAATCAATGTACACAAACCATGAATATGGTATCTTTAATGTGATAGATTGAAATAAAAGTTCGGTTTTATACAAAAACGTTGCCCTTGTACAGATGAAGATGAATTTTGCATACTACTTCAGCTTGTAGAAATCTTACCTGATGTTTCTGACATTCTTGTTAGTTGTCATTAGTACAAGACACCTTACTTTGATCATCAACTTCACCATTAATTGTTATTGTTATTATTTTTATTAGCATCTCTATGCATATTCCTTAAAGTCCAAAATAAGGTGTAAAAACTGATACGAAGAGTTCCAACCTCTCTACATCAGCTCAAAGCAAATTAATTTGTAAACTTGAATATGGAGAAAAATAATTTAAAATGAAATTAAACATAAAACCCACCTGTTTGTTTTCTCTTAATTTTTATCTTTTAAGAGAAATCTTTAAACTTTAAGAGAAAAATGAATGTTCATTTTCTATTATCTTTTATTTCTTAAAATGCAATCATACAACTTTTTATTTTCCAATGATACTCTTAAAAAGGCAAATAAAAGCTATCATATACGGGATCAAAATGCATATTTGATAATTTTCAAAATTCAGAATTCAAAACAATATTCTCTGCATTCAAATTTCAGAAGAAAAAAAAATTCACCAATAAAAATATACCTCTTAATATAATTATTACATTTCAATATCATAATTCAAAACAAATTGAACAATTTCAAATATTAACACTTATGAGAAGAGTAATCTTTTCTACTTATAATTTATAGGCAACATACATAAAGCCCATCTTTCCCACATTTTTTAATCATGTTCCTTATTATAAGCTCCAAAAAGGAAAGGGTTAATCATTTTCCTAACCCAAAAATTAAAATTTTCAAATGTGGTAGGTAATAAAGCAACATATGATTTATTTGCTGTATTATAGTTGGGCCCAATGGATTATGGATACGTGTCATGTGTGGTAAAAGTAATATCCTTTTTTATTGGTTCTTTAGTTTTGACTCTGAGAAACTTGTATTACCTGGGTAGATGTCGAATACAAGGTGGATGGGGGCTGATGGTAAACCTGGGGCAAGCTTCAGTTGCAATTGTTTGTTTGGTTGTAGGGAAAGGAGACAAGATAATAATAATAATGATTAATAATAAACAAATGGGGTGTGCAAAGGGAAATAAGGTTATTTGTTTTCATTAACTTCACATGGGGTTGAATGGTGGATGACTTCATATCAGGTCCCGACTCTCCCGAACAAAGGGTCCCAACAGCTAATACAGTAGTACGAGTTCAGATCAGCTACCAACAACTAATAACATCTCAACCGGTCATTGCAATCAAGCATCAGGAACATCTCTCATCAAAGATAAGAAGATATTTTCCATGCGAAACTGTGGCCTATTGAGACAGGGTTGGCAGCGTTTTGTAGGTAAAAGATCTCTATTCATTGAGAATATCCCCCTTGTCTTTCATGTTATAGAGTAGGGAAAAGTACTCTTCATCTCACAGTAGAATTTTGAATTACAGCCCCCATAGTCCATTAGTAATCCTCCCTTTGCCCATAGATTTGGCATTAATCCACGGTCAAGATTCATCATTTCTGTACGATGGGACTAAAGAATTTTGAACTGGGCTGATCAGTCATTTTCTCTTAGATGTATAGGTCGAATGGCTGTTGGGACCATGGTTTTGGAAAATTAGACCAATTGACCTGGGAACCGATTAGGCAATTGGTTCTGTTTCACCCTAAGACTAGGGGTGTCCACGGTTCGATTAATTGAACCATGACACTTTTTTGTAAACTGAACCGATGGTACCGATTTTTCCATTTCTCCAAACCGAAACCAAACTGGTACCACTGGTTAACCGGTCCGTCGGTTTCGGTTTTTGATCGGTTTGGTTCTTCGGTTTTTTATATTTATAATATATATTATACAAATATATGTATAATATTATATAATAAATAATAAATTATATAATATATTATAAATATTTGAAAAATATATAATATATATATAATATATTTATAAATAGGTCATTATAAATATGATATAAGTATATGTTTATATATAATGAATATATATTTATATATAATATAGAAAATATGTGACATATATTAAAAATATATATAAAATATACATAGAAATATATATACCGGTCAGTTTGGTTAACTGTCGGTTTTTTTGTAGGTTAACCGAAATTCGAACCGATCCTTCGATTTTTATGGACACCCCTACCTAAAACTTCTCCTAGGCCAACCATTGATCTGGTCAGTAACCCAGTGACCTGGGTGGTTGAACCATTGACCCATCAATCAAAACAACCCAAATCAAATCGGATGATCAGACCATTCAACCCAAGAACCAGTCCCCAAAACTGAATGGTCAGATCAATAGAATTCACATTAGCACCCGATAGAGGAGACTGGATCTGCTCCTTACACAAGGCGCCTCACACTGACCTTACACACATTCTATCATGCATTGGGAACATCTCCCGTACTTATAAGTTGTTTATTTACGGGAGATGTTCCCAATGCACGGTGGATGTGCATGTGAGGCGCCCCTGTGTGAGTGAGGAGAAGACCCGTTCCCCCATAGAATACGTCATATAGCGCCCCACAACACATCCATCCGTGAATTAAAAACATCTTCCAATCACAATTACGAGAGATGTTGTCAATGCACGCTGAGAGATGTGTGTGGGGGGACGCCCTGTGGGGCGCTGATTTGGTTTCAGGTCGATCCATCAACATCAGCGTAAGCAAGGGGTTCGTAATGATGAAACTGGCTTATGTCAACATTCCGCGCTCTATCTCTTTCTCACTTGGCCATTGGCCAGTACTCAGTAGTAGCAACGCGGAAGAAGGTTTGAAGATTCTTGGTCTCCTCCTCGCTCTGACTTTCTTCTTTCTATTTCGCCTCATGTTATACGAGTGAGCTTTGAAGGAGAAGTGATCAGCAATTGGACCTCCTTACTCTATCTCTACTGGCCATGACCAAAGACCGGTCTATCAAACAAAAAATACTCGTTTTCATCGGTCAAACTTTTCTCTTCCCCTTCATTCAAAATGGCTCTCTCCCTCCCTTAAATGTAACCATTCCGCCTCTCTCCTTCTTCGGGTTTTAGCCTCCTCCGTCTTTCTTTCAGTTCTCCTCAGAAGTCAGACCTCAGCTGCTGTTCTTTTCCGTTCTCTGTCCGCTGCAACTAAAAATCCAAAAAGAGATAGGAAGACAAATATCAAGTGTACCCTTTTCAAATTTTGGCTCTTCTAATTAGTCTTTCACTCCCATTTCCGTTCTCTTTAATTTTCTCTGAATTTAGTTTCTTAGGCTACTGAATCTAGCTTCAGCCTTCAGGCTTCAACGCAACAAACCATCGACGACTTTAGCAGACCTGTTGAAGATAGGTTATCTCTCGAATAGCGAAAACTTTAGGAAGGAAAAGCTAGAAAGTTTCTCCCGTTCTGCTAAATCTCGAGTAGCTACTTTCATGTTCCTGAGTTCTCGTTTCCTTGACTTTCCGATTTGTTCTTCCTATTCTGAGATTGTTGGTGGTGCCCCCAATTTGACAGTTTCTGCTTCTTTGACTTCTCTTCTCAGTCTGAAATGTCTTGACTACTCTTGTTCCTAAAATGAACTAAAATTTTCCCATAAATTGAGCATCTTAATTTACCAGCTTATTTGCACCGACTCACCGGTGATACTCCCCGTCACAAATTAGTTGTGGTGGAATATTCTAGTTCACGGTATTACCGATGGAGAACGCCGGGGAATGGGACAAAAATGCTTTGCTCAACGAGCTAATCAAAGGGAGGGAGATTGCGCTGAAGCTGCAGGTCCTAGACCCATCTTCGCCCGCAGAGATGCGCGAAATGTTGGTACAAAAGGCACTAATTACCTTTGACAGGGCTTTGTCGATACTGAAACGGAATGGGCTGGAAACAGAAACTCAATCAACGCAAATTGTCGCCGGTGGCATGGTAGACTCCCCGCGCTCGGATAGTGCAAGCCCGAGAAGTGATGATTCAGATCGGCCTTTCAAGGATCAGGACCGCAGAGACATCTCAAAGAAGAGGTACTAGTTACTTGAAACGTTTTCATGAAGTTTTTGCATCGAGGGGATGATCTTGGATTTACCAAATTTACTGGTTCGAATTCGAATCTACGTTTCGCAGAAAAACATTGCCCCGATGGACAGAACAAGTTCGCGTTGGGCCAGGGATAGGACTCGAAGGGCCTCTGGATGATGGCTATAGCTGGAGGAAGTATGGCCAGAAAGACATCCTTGGAGCTAAATATCCAAGGTGAGCAACAAACTCCATCCTTAACTCTCGTCTGAATATCAGTTGCTTTGAGATTTGATGAGTTGCAGTAGTTGATAGGAATTAGGAGAGGTCATCTGCTTCCATCCCAGCCCAAAAGGCCAAAATTAGTGATCACTGCTCAATCAATCATATAGTTCTTACTTCTTAAGAGATGCCCATTTCATTTCGTTGTGCTTTGCTCTGTGACAGGGTCTCTCAGGAGGAATTGACTCTGATACCTGGAGTCTCCTCCAATGATTGAGATTGCCTTGGCGAAACTATGCATGAAAGTACAGTTTTAGACTGTTTGTAGAAAATACAGACATATACGCATTGATTGGAATCACGGAAGTATATGTGGCATGTGGATGTGGGCTGGCTGTATTTCGATACCTTTTCCATTTAATTTCTTGACTTGGTAAATTGAAATATGAAAAAAGTCAAATCAAAACCCCAAGTCAACACAAACAGTTTAGAGATGAATTGAGTGAGGGCGTGCCGCGTACGTACGGACTTGGATATGAGCTTTTGAGTTGAGTCAAATTCAAGTTCATATTTCTAACTTGAAATGTTTTTCTTTTGAGCTTGAGCCAAGCCGATCTCAAACATATGAGCTTTTGAGTTAGTCAAATTTGAGCTCATATTTCTAACTTGAATCAATAGTCAAATATTCAACTTGTCTAAGCTAAAATCCACCGCTGGCAAGTGCCCACTACCCACTAAAAAATGAGTTGCCAATAATTTCTTTAGAAATCAACTAGAAGATCTAAGCCGAGGCCAGCTTGGCCATAGATCGAGGCACGGCCTCAGCCGAGTTAATATAGGGCTGTTAATAATTACAGGCACTTGCAGCAATGAACATTGTCTAATTATCCTAATTAAAGATTTGTTACAATTGCAGAGGCTATTACAGATGCACCCATCGCAACCTTCAAGGCTGTTTGGCCACTAAGCAAGTGCAAAGATCAGACGAAGACCCGTCTGTCTTCGACATCACATATCGAGGGAAACACACCTGTATACAGGCATCCCATCTAGTTCCAGCCTCGACATCTACTGAAAAACCAGAGAGAAAACGGAACCAAGATCATCTTCAACCAGAACAACTGCCAAGCCAACAAAATCAATCCCAAGAGATTCTCTTGAACTTTAGGACCGGACTCAAGGTCCAAACCAACGATTTAGACTCTAGGGAGATGATATCTTCTTCTTTCTCCTTCCCTTCTACATCCTTTGGATGCATAAAAACTGAAAACCATATCTTCTCGCCTTCCACACTTGATAACAATTTTATGGGTAGTTATTCTCCTTCCTTCATTTCCCCAGCAACATCCGAATCCAACTGCTTCTCTATGTTGCCCTGTCGAATGAACAGCTTACAGGGGGGTCATAATTTGCAGACTTCAGAATCTGATCTCACAGAAATAATCTCAGCTGCTACTTCAGCAACGAATTCTCCTATTATGGATTTGGATTTCTCACTTGATACTGTGGATTTTGACACTAATTTCCCATTTGACACTCCTGGCTTTTTGTTGTGAAGAAAAACCAGAAAAAAAAAATCTGGTTTAACATTAGTGCTGTTGATCCTATATAGAATGTCCAGGAGGGATACCCATCTGTCAGAGCTGGTGCCTGAAAGCCTTCTCCTATGCTGGACAAGAGATATTATTTTTGTGTTTTTTTTTCTTTTCTTTTTTTTTTTTTTGGGGGGGGGGGGGATTGAGGTAGATGAAGATTAGAGCTGTGTAACAAGTCTTTCCTTTTCTTTTTTCTCTTTTCCTTAAGGCCTAGTCTCAATTGTAATATTTCTATTCCTACCCTTCTGAGCTTGTACAAGTAGATTGATTGTATTTTGTAACCTATATAAAATCAGCTGATATTATAAATTCTTGCTAGTCTTTACTGGATGAAAAGTTGACTGATTGAGTAATCCTTTGTTGGCCCTTACATTGTGAAGGACCCATTCCTGGAACTTTAACACAAGCATTAAGGCCCTAGTGTTAATCCCAAGAATTAATTAGTCGTTCACCCCATCATATAATCTCAATCGTTTGGATCCAATCTCAAAAATTACAATAAGTTGAAGATCTCAGCCACCTGATGAAAGCTAGATTTCTTGGACAGCTATCTGTAATTTTACTTCAACAATTTGACAAGCTAGATTTCTTGGCTCTTCATGGAGCACAAACATGCTTGTTGAACCCTACCCTCCCAATTAAATGGCTGGCCATCCTTGTTGAACCTTACCCTCCCCATTAAATGGTGAGTTCACATGGCCAAGGTTGCGCATACATGCTTTCCATGTTGCTATTCTCTTCACAACTAGATATTTCTCTTTGGCCTTCAACTGTTCAAAATCAATTCAATGATCATTGTCTGATTTGACAAGCTTATGTCAACAATCTCTTACTGTTTTTTGCCTAATTGGTGAAACCTGTAGTTTGACAAGTGAAGTGCAATATGACATTAATTATTTATTGATTGTAAGTGACATTAATACAAAACTGCTAGACTAGAGTGGATAATAATACAAGTAGAATGAAACAATTCCTGTGAAACAGGTGAAACACCCATACAGTGCAAATATGGTAATGATAGTAACTACTGGGGTAAAGATGTCAGTATGTAGGACTTAAGTAAAGGCAAGTTTATGGAAGTAGAAGCTGCAAAACAGGAGAAAGCTTTCTTGAAGCCACAATCATTTTTTCCCCTTGAGTGGTCTCTCGACACCACAATTTTGGTCAAATAATTCATGGAAGCATTAATACCTAAGACAGCATCAGAATGAAACAAAAATCAGTGCTTTGATAAACTCCATCCTAAAATAATATAAGGAAAGCACATAGTTTATTTGCTAATTGAACTGAAAAGGTCATTACTGTAAGGGGAAAAACATCATTTAAGCCAGTCTTTACTAAAGCATAAGTTCATCATCTAAATGGATTCATCTGATGGATATCAAAAAATAGAGAAATAAACTATTTTAATACTTCAAAGAAAACCACAAAATTCAAAATTTTTTAATATTCCCAAGTATATAAATTTTAGGCAATAACTTTATGAGCTGAAACTATAAGTAAGCAGAAAAAAACTGAAAAGGTCATTACCAATCAGAATTCTAATGCTTGTCAGTCTGAGATTTGACTGAATTTAAATCACTTCCAGATACTTAAGTAAATTGACTGAATTTAAACCAGTAGTAAGATGGAAGATGTTTATTGCTTTGAATATAGCCTATTAACAATATTCTTATAAAATATATCATACCTATATGGAGGGTTTCTTCTCTTTGATCCTTGAAGTAACCATGGGCATGTTTTCTTTTGCATCCTTAGTTTTACTTAGAGCTTGTCTCAGTCCCAACACAATGAACAAGTTACTGAGAGTGAGTAGAGACTCAGCTCCACCATGTAGCCAATCCACATTAGACAAAGAAGTTCCATAGTGCACCTTGGCTGCCCCACCACAAGAAACACGATCATAACTAACACAGTTTGTGTTCACAAGCAGTTAATACATGAATGCAAGTTATGTAAATTTTGTTAGTGGGATATGAACTTACCATAAATTCCAGCAGGGACTGGTTTGACAAAGTTGCAGTAAAACCAACACGAAATGGATCAGTAAAGTGCAAAAAATGCTTCTCATCAAAGAAGTCATGGTCTCTTGAGTAAATTACAACCAATATAAAAAATAGCAACAAATTTATCAACGTTTCAAGGGAGACATATAGAATGGAAACTTTATTGAATAACTTTAGAACAGAGCAGATGTTTGGCATTCATCAATCCCTTGCTTGGTTCCCTCCTCCATATGAAGAGCTAGAGCTAACATTCATGAGCAGGCCCACAAGTGCAAAGCAAACAACAGAGCAGATGTTTCATTGGAAGATGTAGCATCTGATGATTGAATTCCTATATCTTATGATCTTATCCAGCTGTATGAAAACACCAGTAGCCCATCGCTTTAAGGTTAGAATGCAACTTTAATAAATATTACCCAATCTATTAACATTTCCAATAGTAGTGAAAAACTTAATCTAACAAATATAACCCATATATACAGAACCAGTGTGACAAACTAAAGGAGAGTAAGGCTTCTCTTAAATAGTTCAAATATCCCTTGTTCCTGAAGTAAACAGCATCTGTAATGTCTCCTTACTTAGATAAAGGTCTGTTTTGAATCCCCTCCCCCTCCCTCTCC